GCACGACGGCACTGGATGCGAAGAAATATGAAGCAAATAAGAGCAGATGTGATGAAATTTCCCCGAAGATTGAGAGGCTGAGTACTCGTGTAAGAGAGGGGGTCAGATTTTGCTGGATATACCAACCAACATATGTATATAGATACATCAGCGACTGTTCATGTGGAAGCAGGATAACTACTTGAATGTCCATTTCATTTCATAGCTGTTATTTATTAATGAATCAAAAGAAGGAAATAGATGTCTGCTTTACATTTATGTCAAAATCGTATACTACTCGTGTATTTTATGCAGTGGTGGTCCAGCATGGTGGCATAGCCAGGGAGTTTGCTGCGTGCTGGTACACCATACAAGCACGTTTAAAAAGACGCAGTTTAATGCCATCTACCTAAATAGTTCGCAAGTCGACAGCAATTTTTAGGTAGGAAACGCGAGAGGCTTCATAATGATATTTAACGTCCCAAAACCACCATATGACTGTGAGGGACGCCGTGGGCTCCGGAAATTTCAACCACCTGGTGTTCTTTAACGTGCACCCCAATCTGAGCACACGGGCCTACAGCATTTCCGCCTCCATCGAAAATGCAGCCCCCGCAGCCGGGATTCGAGCCCACGCCCTGCGGGTCAGCAGCCGAGTACCTTAGCCACTGGACCACCGCGGCGGGGCCGCGAGAGGCTTGAGTACAGCTTGCAAGCTACATGGGTGTAAACGAAAACCCAAGTTGAGGATGGAGCATTAAGTAACCAAGCCGCTCGGGTCTGGTAATATCAAATTCTGAACATCGTGTGTCACGGGTTCGCACATTTAAACGCGGGATGTTTCAGGGAAAAAGAAACCAAAACAAAATGCGAGAATTTCTTGAAATCGCGGGCGCCCAGAGAAAGTTCCATTCAACTGAATGAAAGAGCAAGTCATGCTTCTATTCTGCCGTCTTTCTTTGCGCCGTAGCTTCAATAACGGAAGAGTATTATTGCACGCTGTCACGAAGCCTGTATGAGTTAAGTGCCTGGAAGTACTTCAACAAAAGCCCAAACAAGCTCCTCTTTTCTCGCGAAACCACGCGCGTAAATCCACACCTCATGGACCATCAATATTAACCGTTAAACGTATAGGTGTTAAGACCGATAGGGCATCTGCGAAAAAAGACGCGTTTATTGCCTATCAAATAACTGTCTCTCTGTATATGCGTGTACGGGCCCGTACGTAATGGTCGCCATAAACAGCTCTTTGACTGGCTATACGAGTCGTTTGATGAATATACAGATAGTTATCCGGGTCGTTTCATTGAGTGGTGTATATAGGCGTATACGACGGTCATTGTTGCGCACACTACACGCTCTATATTCATATTCCTTAGAGATTTCGCACATCGTTGATAGAAAGCCGTTGTAACACGCACGCACGCAAGTTTACCTTCGACAAGGGCCCGAAAAGAAGCGATGCGTTGATTCGGCTTGTCGTAACGTAATCGACAACGTATCCTTAACGTGTTTATTTAGCCTGTAATTCAAGACGCCGAACGCCTATAGGATCTATGCGATGAAAAAAAAATCCGTAAACAGGGTTTGTGTGGTCGAGCTGAACTTCCGACGCGTGGCTTGTCTACGATAAGGCTGGAGTTCCAGCCTTGGAGAAGACAAGTTCCAGCCTTGAAGAAGACAGGTCCACTCGTCGAAACGCCGGCTCTAGCTCATGACACCTCTTGACGGATATTTTTCATTGCAAGCTTCCACCTTCTCTTTTCTGGCGTTGTTTGGATATACGCTATATGAAGTCACGTATAATACACTAGAAAAAAAAAAAGCTTCTAAAAGTGAAGCTCCACGTTGGATTAATGCGGGTTGTCGAGAAATAATGGAGATGAGCTGAGAGATTTTTTTGTTTCTGCAATGCCGGTGCACCATGTGGAGGAGCCAAGCTAATTAACCTACATATCAGAACACACATGCCCTTATATACCGTATCTGTACGGTCGCACTCCATATCGAGAGTTCGGCAACCGGGCCCGAAATTGACAAAGACTGTTCTTGGAGCAGCAAAAGCCATTAATGCGATATGATTAAAAGACAGAACCGACTCAGAACGCCTGTTAGTCCACATACCTCTGTACACCTCTCCCTCATTAGAATCATAATACATTATTGCCTCGCTACAAACTGTAACATTCGGAAACTTCACTGTTTTACGCACACCTCGTAATCGTCGCCAAATAATGGTGGAAGGTAAATACGTGCACCATGTTTACAGCTCCGTGGCGACCTTGAATGCGTGCAATGTGCAGGCACATCGCGCGAATCCAGCGTATCCCAACAAAGCACCAGCGGGATTATTACGGCACACAGACGGCATAAGGGAGTAACAAACGAGTCCCCGATTATAACGGAGCTCCCGTCGATTGTGTATAGAGACAGAAAAAAAAATAAGGATCACCGGAAACCACGAAGCTCACCGGAATATGTGCAGCTCATGCATGCTCGGGGGTCTGAACTTTTGCGAGGAAATTAATTCCAACATCAGCACGGTGCTCAGAAAAAAAAAAAAGATGTGCCTTCTTTGTCTGCTCTGTTTTTGCGCACTGCCGGTGCCAATAAACACCGCCCGGTTTTTTTTTTTTTTTACCGTTCGGTTTACATTTTTACGTATATGCGGTCTAACGGGCGCTTTTTTTCTCGTAAACGGGGTCATTAAACCAGCGACCCTGCAGCTCGAACATGACTCGGAGGTCATCGAAGCTGGCATCGGGACGGGGTAGGAGAGGGGGGAGGGTCGAGACGTTTCGTCGAAGTCTCCGGTGTAGCTCTAAATACCAGCCCTGCATGCGTGTCCCACAGACAAACGCTCTTCCGTTTTTTATTGACGCACACAGGGTACAAGTGCAGCGTTAACCCATATATGTCCAGTGCCCTACGTGTAGAACGGTGAGACTATCGAGTGCACCTCGAATGCTTTTTCTGTGAAAAAGGTAGCACCACCTAAGGTGTGTTTATGATGCCCTGTCCTCCTCACATGCAAGTCTAGCGATCACTAGGCTACAAATATCCGTGTGCTTGCAGCCACAAAATGACTACTCCACGTGCATGTAACTGAGCGCCATACCACGATACCACGAAAAAAAAATATAAGTAACATAGAGTCAAGTTGTTCTCAATGCTGCTAATAGTTTTGTCGATCATTTGTCAGTTATTGGGTGTGCAGCAACTTTCGTATTACAGTGACAGACGCTAATGTTTTTAGAAATTAGTTTGTAAGTTTTCCTAAGTTTGGGCATATATGGGTTAACGACTACAATGCCGCGCGACACTGTTACTATCAGGCGGGCAGCGCTTAATGTGTCATTCACTAATGGACTCGTGTGGTACGCGCTATTAGTTACGAAATCGTTGATCTATACAAGATGAGCCATATGAGGCATCCCGTGACGCATTAAACACGAGAAAAGTCTGCAAGAACCAACTTCCTATCATTTAAAGCGCACGAAAAAACAGACGTAAAGAGAGGACAAACAGACATTATGTCTGTTTTTTTCGTGCGCTTTAAATGATAGTTATACCATGCATATCCAACTAGCCCAACTTTCGATTCTGTTGCAACCAACTTCCTGCGGCTACTGCAATATGTACTATATAAGCTCGTCTCCAAACGAAACTCAAATATGTACCCCCCCCCCCCCCCTATTTGTGTATATTGCATGGCGTAAATGCTCAACGAGAATGGGTACTTACTTAAATGTTCGCGTATTTCCTAATATCTTACTGCGATACGTATCTCAGAACCGCGTCACGCGAACAGGGGCAGTAAAATGAGCTCGATCATTTTTTTTAATTCTAGAGATGACGTCATGTAAAAAAATAAAATAAATCACTGCCTTCAGAACATCAAGTACTTCGTTTTAAAGAAACACACACGTCACTATGAAGTTCGTTCGTAGCCACGGGAAATTGACTGTCTGATGGCAATTACAGGTCAAATTACCATAAATTTTGAATTGATTATGTTGGCGTAATTCGAAGGACGAAGGTGAACTGTATACAACTACCCCAACCATCCGTCCCTCTGAGGTGACATAGCAAGCTGTTGATTCTCTTCCAGGCAGCCGCCTGTTAACGCTGCGTACAGCGCTGGTCAGCTGACAGCGACGTGAATTAATATGGAACGCGTCTTCAATTGTCGCTGCACTGAGGGGACACACGTATTGCATACCATCTGCGGGCCACAGATTTGTCCAAACGCTCACGCAGAAATTACACCACATGCTCCCAGCTTCGACGAAACGAATGAATGAATACAGCAAACAAAATACGAGATGCACGACACGAGTTCAGGAATGACGTTCCCGCTGTAAAGAAAAAAACGGCCAGTATGGGTAATGTAGAAGCTTGCGGTGAAAAAAACACAACGTCGTTTACACCACCCCTGTTTACGGATATTTTTCATCGTTCCCGATCGCGGGCATTTAACATGTCGATAGCACGGATGAAGGTAAAAAAATGATAAATACGATGAAGCAAAAAATATGGGAATAGTGACAAGATAGATCGGGCTGTGCAACGAGCATGACGACCATGTGACAGCGTGCTCTTTCTGTCGAACGGCGCGGGCCGAACCGGTGTCCTTCCCGCGTCTCGCGAGAGCAGCAAATAAAGCAGGAAGCGTCCGTTTTTATGGGCGCGTATAAATTACAGCAGCTCAAGCCGTATAATGACGCCGACAGCGTGTATTTATCCGGGCAATCTTTAAAACCGCGCGGACGATTCCCGAAGGGGGCCGAGCAGGCGAGTGCAGAGCGCACGACCGTAAAGGACCTGCCGCTCTCGTAAATATCGGCCGGGCCGAACAGAACCCCGTTCGACCTCGGCTCCGGACATCGTGCACGCCAGCGTACCGACGCTCGATTACTCGTGCACTGCCGCGCACGGCGTATGCACTACTACGCATCAAGCGATGCATGCTATAGGAACGGAGAGATAAGTGAAGAGTGAACAAGTGAAGTAGTACTCACAAGGGTGCGCGACGATGCTGAGCTGGGACGGTTGGCAGCGGCTTTCTTGGGAAGTTTCGCGCGGCTGTGTCCAAACAAGTAGCGCAGAAGACGGTTTCGAGTTGATCTGGTTCGCAGGTATTTTTTTTTCGCTACGGCTCCAAGAGGAAGAGGAACTCGACAGCGCCCGACGGGGTGTCACCACCAAAGATGTCGATCCCGTCCTTGAAGAACTCCGAGTGCCGATGAGGTACGGTGTGTGCAACTAATGGGCAGATGATGAGATATTACACGGTCTTTCCACCACCACGGGAGACGAAGGTTTCGTTGTAGCCACCAGACGAAGTGAACGGAGGTTCTCCCCCTCTCACTTGTCGTTTCTCTCGGAAAAAACAACACACATACACGCGGCACGCCGTGTCCTCGCGCTGAGCACGCATCAGCCCATGGCTGGCACAATCGACGACGACGCCCAAGTGTCCAGCGGTGACGCGTTTCGACGGCGTCGCGACGCTCTGCTGCGACGTCGTTGCGGCTCCATGGCTCACGCGCACACACGGGTAAGCCAGCGCGCACGCACGTGCACTTCGGGGCGGTTGCCGGACTGCGGCCGGCACGGAGCGCGACTGCAGCGGCGACGGCAGGACGACGTGGCGGCGAACCGCTGCATCCCGGCGCGCTCCCCAATGATCACTGTTTGAGCGCGACTCCCTCTTTTCTGCTGCCGGGCTCCGCTTTCGTTTTCTAGGCGGCAGCTCAGCCAGCCCCTCGCCTGCCTTGCCTCGACGACGCCACCGCCGCCTCGGGCGTGCTTTCACTCTTTCTCTCTTATCTAAAGCTTCAGCCACGACCTCTCTCCTCCCCACAACTCCTCCTTTCAACGAAACGCAGCGTTGTTCGATCGGTTCTTTCTTTTTCGCTCTCTCTTGCCCAACACACCGACGAAGTGGCGGTCTCCTCCTCTTCCTCAAAATCTGTTTCTCTCCTCCTCTACTTCACCGTCAACGCCACGCGGTGGGAGAGCCGAGCGGCAGAGCCTGCCGTGCCGGAAGTCGCGAAGAGTGTGGCGTGCACAAAGCCCGTACCGCCATCTGGAGACCAAGCCACAAGCTCGTCGCGGCGTTGTCCGTTCCGCCCGGAAGTTGTGTCGGTAGTTCGGAAAGTGGAAAAGACAGCGTTGCTGCCGTACCCGCGATATTGCGTGGTGCAGAGATATGTCTACTCAATGCCACGCGTTCTCGTCAGCTTTCACCTATTCGCTCGTCGAAAAGGAAACATCCTTTATTTTTCATTCGTAGAAAGAAGGCGAGCGAGTGAGTCTCGTCATAAAAACAACACTGGGAGGCCCGCCGAAAGCGCTGCTTATACGGCATGTCAGAAGTTACCACGCGCGTAAATGGCTAGCGCCATTCGCTATTTACTGCGGGCGCGCAAACGACCCGAAATAGTACTCTCTCTCTCCCATTCATTCTGACTCTCCCACCTCTCTCTTCCAGCCCTGTAAAATATGGTCTGTAAAGCGATTATAGAGTAATCACTGGGAACGATAAAAAAAGCGCCTCATTCAGACTTCTCGCGAGGTTGGATTTGAGAGTGAATGACGTTCATTAAACGGCCCCCCTCTTTGAATGCGGGCCAACAGCGCTCGTCATTTTTAACCGCAACCGCGAGACACAAGCCGCTCAACACAGGTACGACTAGCATCGCGCACGGCCTTCGCGTAACACTGGCACGCTGGCTCTCGTGGGCTTAACCTAATGACACACCGTGGACAAGCAGGTCGCTGTGACATAGCGGCGTTGCGCCAATGTTATGTCCACAGGGTTTGACCACTGCAGGACAAAACAGGCTGAGAATGAGGATGACACTGTCACCTTCACAGCGACCTACTCAACACTGTTCAACGTAACCTAACACTGTTACATCAGGTTATGTAATAACAGACATTGCTGTCATTATTCTCCGCCTGTTTCGGCATGGTGTGGACTACAACAAGCTTAGAATGATGATAACACTGTCCACTAGCTGCGCACAAAGCGAAATGAAGTCAACCATTAAATGTCCAATAGTGTTACGCTGTCCTCAAAGTGGAATCTGTCGTGATCTATGCATTTATACTACAAGGCATTGAAGCTTTTCACGCAGTTCTTCTAATAATATTGCCCCGCCGCGGTGGTCTAGTGGCTAAGGTACTCGGCTGCTGACCCGCAGGGCGCGGGTTCGAATCCCGGCTGCGGCGGCTGCATTTCCGATGGAGGCGGAAATGTTGTAGGCCCGTGTGCTCAGATTTGGGTGCACGTTAAAGAACCCCACGTGGTCTAAATTTCCGGAGCCCTCCACTACGGCGTCTCTCATAATCATATAGTGGTTTTGGGACGTTAAACCCCACATATCAATCAATCAATCATCTTCTAATAATATTCGTACTGGCAATCACGTGATCGTTTCTTACGTTCTGCTCCTTCATTTGGCTCCTTTCCAAGTCATCTATCTTTTTTTTTTAATTTTATCTCACCGACATGTCATGCAGGTGGTCTCATGCCCGCTGAGAATCCATATACGTATGTTGCTGTGGATACAGATGGCGAATGCAATCGAAGCGGGGGATAAAAAAAAAAGATAGGAAAACGAGATCCGTTGTGCAATACGTCGCAGATGAGCAGGTTTGCAGTCGCAAGCCACGTGATACCTCCTTATGCACGAATATTTAAGAACCAAAATCACCAAGGTCAAAATTAATTCGAAAGAAAGAAAGAAAAGCCCTCCGGCATAACACCGTGCCTCATTTAAGCTGCCACATATCGCAACTCGGCACAATTGAGATGCTTCTCGCGCGAAGCTGCACGAGACAACGTCGATAGCCAAGGTCTCGCCTTGGCAACGCGCTCTTCATTGCGGAAGTCACACAGTGATGACAGCTGGGGGGGGGGGGGGGAGAAAATACTCGGTGCTAAAGCGGCCATTAACTAGGCGCCGCTATCGTGAAGCAAGAAACACTGGGAGGTGTTAACGCAAGCCGGTCGCGTACTCAGTGAAGTGTAAACACCTTGGCATATATAGCGTTCCTCAGTTGTACTTGCGCGCATGCCGCAGATTCTGGTGCGTTCATTATACTCCCTGTGAGACTGTTGTCTATACGTGACTGTAATAAAAAAATACGTTTACATTTACGGCCTCTCTCCTGGCTGTATACTACGCCAAATGAAAACGTATACTCTCGTTGGGGAATGAGGCGTGTATTTATTTAGCCTTGTGTGACACGAACCCCCTAAAGTCACGTGGTACATGAACACGTGGTGAACAGTTCACGTATAAAGCAAAAGAACACTCTTAATCGGATCCTGCGAGACGTTCCGGGTGTATACAGGACACGAGAGTTATTGGTGTAGTTTCCTGGCTATAGACAGCACTTTAAGCTGGAACTGGTTAAGAGTTGAAGACACGAGCATCTGTTATGAATTGCAGATCGTTGTATTCCACAACATCGGATGGGTGTTGTGGAATGGTGGTTTCGTGGAAACCTTGATGTGATGACAATGTTGGAGTTTTACGGCCCACGATATGATTATGGGAGACGGCGCATAGAAGTCCGACAATTTCGACCACCTAGGTTTCATTAACGTTTACCCAAGTCCAAGTACACATGCATCCATCATTTCGCCTCCCCCTAAATGCGGCCGGGATTCGATCCAGCGACCTACGAGTATGCAGTGAAGCATCTAACCACTAGACCACTACGACGGGTGAACCTCTATCTAGAGGCCGTTAACAAGGGTTCTGGGTATACAAGTTGAGGATACCTTGGCCCTGAAAGCTGAAACTCTCTTATTTTTTTTTTCTTTGCGTGTCTATTTGTCCTGTTTACTGAAGAGAGAAAAACAAACGTAACGAAGCAGTTTTTCGCTGGCTTAAGGCTCCATCTGGCCGTAATGTATCCGGCCTTCTCTGTCATCACTCTGTCATCACTTTCTTTTCAAGGAGGGGCCTTGTGGCTGACTTGGCAGATGATTCAACAGACTCGTCAACTTTACGGAGTAATGGCCATCAGCAACCATATAGCCTTCCATGCGAAAGATAATGTTTCCTTTGTATATAATAACAAGGGAAGGTACGCGATAAGTTATAGCCGTGGCTATCCCGACACTGTCACAGTGATATTAGAAAAAGAAGGGGGGGGGGGGCGACACGCACATAAATAACACGAAACAATAAAAAAAACATACAATAATCAGCGGTACTGTGTACATATGTGATCTCAGCCGTATATCTGAGTGCACATATTAGCCCCAATAGGATGAAAATTTTCTCTCCACGCCATTTGTTAGTCACGATCCCATTGGACAGTGGACACACGCTCACAAACGCCTCGACCTGAGATGATGTGCTGATCTTTAAGATCCATGAATACGCACAGATGCCAGAACCTTTAACAAAGCATGTTGGCAGTGGACACAAACCGCCTATACGGGAATCTGGCGTAATATGTCGCGAAGACACCACACGAGGCTGCCTTTCCTCACTCTCCTGACAGTCTGTCAATAAATGAGGTGTTTAGTTTGAGGGGAGGTTTTGACCTGGCAAGTTGCCTGGTCAAAAATGATACCCTGGAAATAAAAGCATTCATTCGTATACACACCTAAATACATGCGTTGAGTCTGTTTTTAAAGGGATTTTTCTTTTCTTTTTCTACAGCACCATCTGTTCAGGCGCATAACTCAGCGAAACGAATCAGAGTAGTTTCAATGCGTGAACGAGCCCAGTTCACCTGCGGTAGGGAAAGGCTTAAGAAAATTACTAAGAGAGCCTGTTCAGTAACGCGGTCACTTGCCGCTGGCGTGGCAGAGAGAAATAAAACCACGGTGTGACCGTGGTCGAACTAGGTTGAATTCCCATTTATAGTGCATGCAAATCTTGGGCGGTTGCTCTATAACAGTGTTTTATTCGTTATGATACACTGACGAGCGGCAGGAGCAGTAAATATAAAGGAACTACGAATAGTAATTATTTTGAAACGGAAGAAAAAATATATAAAGGTATATGACTCGCATGTGTCACAAAAAAGCATCGTGCTTAATCCGTAACTTGGCGTTTAGGTTTGCAGCAAAAAAAAAAAACTG